ATAGACCGAATAGTGATTTGGCTCTGGCAAATCACGTGTAGTGGAAACACGGTGCCACAACATCACCCTTTCTTCTTAAGGAGTTTACTTAAGGTAAGCTTCTTGGAATCTTAACAGTGGTGTGGTGTCCACTAACAGGAAATCAAGTAACGATTCGGCCTTGGCAATAAATTCTCTCGGGCCAAGTGCCTTTGTGCCAGCGTCAGGTGGGTTCTGTTCAGCATTCACGTGTACAAGGTTCATTTGCCTTTCACGTACAGTTTCGAATGCATACGCAATCTTTACCTGGAACGATCTTGTTTTGGAATTGGTAAGTTGACCACCATTTCGGATTTGGTTAACAACTGTCCAACTGTCAGTGTAAAGATCATCCGACGTGATGGCATCATCATCAAGTTCTTTACCATAGGTAAGGAAATGTTTCACCTTATTCAAGAATACAACTTCTTCAATTGTAGTTGCAAGTGCTGTAGCTTCGGCATGAGCAGTGCTTGTGCATACCCATTTTGATCTAGTACTCTTCCAGTGAATGGGTCCGTGATTGTAAATCATGTAGCTAAGTCCTGAGCGCTTCGTGAGGTGTTCATCGCTCTCTTCTTTTTGGAAACTCGCGTCAAAGAAACCAACAAAATTTTTGCTAGTACGTGTGTCGCGCTTAAACACAAGCTTCTTGTCCTTTGTATTCACGAGGTATTGGAGTAAGCGGTTGATAGCTTTCATAACCTTTGGGGTGGGACAGGCGACAAGCCGAGAAAGTGTGTTAACAGCGTAACTGATGTCGGGACGGCAACACAAGCAGAGATAGGAGGCAACACCAATTTTGGAGCGGGCTTCCTGTTCAAGTCCTCGAATTTGCGTAGGCGTCATAAACGTCAATTGTTCATGTTCTTCAAGCCAGTCAATGTTAAAACCTTCAAGCATCGGGGTAGTAACATAGTTGTTGGCCACAATATTGTATTCGGCAGCGAGTTTGTCAATCGTTTGGGTACGATCCATGGTAATGGTTTTGTCAGGGTTGACATGGATGCGAGTTTTCAAGATTTCGGAAGGTACACCGAGATCCTTAATACCGTAAATCAGTAACATAGATTTAATCCATTCGACTTCAGCTATAGTTTTGCCACAGATCAAAATGTCATCAACAAAAACACCAAGTATTAACACAACTTCATCATGTTGTGCGTACACATAAACCGATTTGAATTGTTTGGCTTCTTTGAAACCAAGTTCTTGGATCAAATAGTTGTTCAATTCATGGTACCACAAGTAACCAGATTGTTTTAAACCGTATAACGCCCGATGAAGACGGAACACGTTAAAGAAACCAGGTTTGTCAGCATGAAAGTCAATACCAGTACCGAGAGGCGGGATAATGTAAATGTATTCATCCTCTGGTAAAAGGGCATTCAAATACGCAGTATTGATATCAACTTGCCATAACACAAAGTCATGTTCAACAGCAAAAGCGAAGATAAAACGCAAGATTTCCAAGCTCATGGTAGGAGCGTATGTTTCGCAGAAAGTGAGGAGACTTTGTAAGTCACCGCGAGCAACAAGGCGGGCTTTCCACACTTCAATGTACTTACCAAGTTCATCAAGCTTCGTCTTTGATTCAATCAACCATTTCGTAGGGATGACGCGATTTAAGATTTCAGGGTTGTTCGTACAAATCACTTCCTGGTACCAAGTGAGAAGGTTTAAGTGGGCTTCAAGTTCACGTAATACTGCTGCACGAGGTAATTCAAGTTCAATAGCTTGCCAGTACGTAAGCGATTTCTTATTGGATTTCAGTTTGACGGCGGCACGTAAGATGCGGACATGATGGTCGACAGCGAGGCGTTCAATGGGATCCGAGATCGGCATAGGTCGGTTATCTTTGAAAGCAAATCCTCGGTTAAGTTCACGGATGTGTCTGATGAGGCGAATAAGATTGACGCGGCCTCTCTTTTTCGTGTGTTTCGTGTCATAGATTTCAGAAATTAATTCACCATCCTTCGCAGAGCGTCGTCTCTTCTTCAGCGTAGAGCGGGTTTCGCGGCCTTGAGTGAGATCAATTTCATTTTCAGCTCCAACAAGATCCATTTGTAATTTCTTAGGAATCTTCGAAAGTTGGTCATTCTTGCCGGTCAGAGGGGGCTTAGTTAACATATCAGCGGGATTAAACGGGGTATATGGAAGAACTTCCTTCAGGTTATCCGGCAGTGTATTATGTGGTTCCTCCGTGGTTGGTTTCAGCTCTTCCAGTGATAAGTTAGCGTCGGTATCTAATGTATCAGCAAAATGGACTTTCTTTGGCGGTGATGGCTTCGCAGGTGGAACGTCCGCTTTTTCAACTTCGTCGATTTCGTTAACTTCGTCATGTTCATAATCAGTGTCGACTAATTCAGACTCCGTTTGAGTAGGCGTAGGGATGCCATAATCGGTGGGGTCGATGGAGTTAATGATTTCGATGTTAGGTTCAACTTGGTCGAGCGGCGTGTTCGGTGGCGGGTAGTGTGACGGGTCATCCGGCAATTGCGACGCAGTAACTCTCGCAGAGTCAAATTCTTCTTTCGCAGTTTCAGCAAATTTAGGGGATTCCTCCATCATATTCCATCTAATTGACAGGTCAGTTGTCTTCTTGGTCCACTTGAAAGGTAAGTTAATACCGGTCATGGCAGTCATCACCTTAGCATAAGCTTCAGGGTCCAGAAGAGGGAACAAGCGCACAAAAACTTTTGCATTTCTAGTGTGGTAAATTTGGCGACTGTCATCAAGTTTCAAAATAGCGAGTCCGAGGTAACGAGGAGATCCGCCAAGAGTAATGCCATATTCGCCAGCAGGTTCAGTTTTCGTTTTCGTGGTTGTCTTTTTCGCGCCAAGTAAACTACCGTCAGCATATTTGCTCGTCATATCATTTTTGGGCTGAGTGCCAGGTTTTCCACCAATGGGAGGGCGATCGTAATATATGGCAAAACAACCAAATGGAATGATAAACCGATCATTTGGAGGTGTTCCAGTAACACACTCATGAGGCAGCATGCCAAGTTCCAGCGAGTAACTATGGTTCATAACATTTACGGCGTGAGCAGCAGCCCAAGGCCAGTATCGGTCAGGTACCCCAGATTGGAGTAAGTTGATACGGATGTTTTGAAGAATAGTACGGTTAACACGTTCAGCAGGGCCGTTCTGTTGCGGTTCGAAAGGTGTCGCAAGTGTGTGGACAATACCTTTTTCATTGCAGTACAGCTTGAGCTCATTATTATCAAACTCCTTACCACCGTCTGTGATGAAGTTCTTAACAACGTACTGTGGTTCACGACCATGAGTTTGACGTTCAATGTGATTCACAAACCATTTAACAGCTAGTTGAGCGTCAGCTTTTCCAAATTGCGCGCGGTGAATTCCAAGAAATGTGTAACCTGAGAAGACGTCACGAATGACTGTGCACGAGTCAGGAGTAGTCACGTATTTAGTCGGAATTGTTAAGACGTCACCGTAAACATAATGTAATGGCAGATCAGATTTTGGAAGGTGATGGTAGTCACTCTTAATCGTCTTGGCAACTAAGCAATAGGGACAGACAACGTGTAAAAGTTCATAGAGCTTATTTGGAAAATGTAGATTTCGCGTCTTCGTCAATATGTCTTTCAACCTTCGTCTTCCTGGGTGTTGATACAGCGTGTGCAATTCAAACAAGTCACGGAATTGCTTTTGTTCACGTAGACTTAGAGCAGTGGGGTCTAGTGATGACTTCTTGGTTCGCGTTGCTCTAATTCTCACAAGTTTCTCAGATTTCGCTTCAACATCCTTCAATTCAGTGATCTGAGATGAGGTAAACGTCCGTTTAGGTAATTCACCAACAAGCTTCGTGAAATTCAACTTAGATTGATTCAACAACAAATAATAGTTTCCCAAATGGTCATAAAAGATCCATAAGGAGCCACCCGAGGGATTTCGGTACTCGAGGTAAAAAGCACCAGCAGAGGCAATTAAATAACCTTTGTTTTTCCATTTTATAGGGTTTATAAGTCCATTTTCATTTTCAGGTATAACAAATTCAAGCATCTTTTTCGATTTTAATGGCATAATAAGAACATCAGAAATGCAAACATCATTTCCATGATCGTCGAGTATGTGCAATTTGCCACATCCTTGACTGGTCATGGGGGATCCGTCGGCGGACACGAGGGATTGGTCCTCTTGTGCAGTTACGTCACTTAGTAGTTCCGGCACGTACGCAATGGTTGCCTGTGTACCTGTGTCGACGACGAGGTGCGGTCTACGCCGAATAGCCCTGATTAGGTAGTGCATATTGCTCCGTTTCCGGGTCGGGCTCGACGTATTCGTAGCCATCAAGCATGTCGCTTTCGTTACGAGATATATCGTGTGTGGCACGCACGGGCTTGATCAACGGCTTGTTAGGCTGCTGTGGTTTGTAACGCGAGAGAGCAGTAGTTTGCGAACTCTGGGTTCCCAGTGTTGATGACTCAGTACGTTGGGAGTAGTTTCGGCCACTCGTGTTGTAATTGTTGCGTGACATTACGCGTTCAAGTTCCTTCTGCTCAGCAACAGCGTCATCAATAATCTTAATGTAGGCGAGTTTGACATTGCCAATAGATGTTTTATGAGCGTTGCGATTGTAGTTGAGAGCGGCAAGGTTGATTCTCCCAGAGACTGGTTCACCTCTAAGGTCGTAGGACGGTGGAAAAAGACTCTGTAATAACTGTACAGTAGTGTCCCACGGATGTTGATCAGCCTTTTTAAGTATCTTGTCAACTTCGTCTTTGATGCGCCGTACGTATGTGTCATCATTTAAGCGAGTTCGCAAAATTTCCATCGATGAGGTAGAAGTGTCAAGCTTGCGTTTCCTTTGTTCGTGTAAATATTCCTTAAGATTCTTCTGGTCTGCCGTTGTCGTTGCACCCTTCGGATATTCGGCAACTATGTCTTCTGGTAAATACAACAATGTGAGTTTCCACCATTGGTCACGTTGTTCGTCCGTCAATACATACGCATTCATTTCAGAGATAATGTAGTCAATGTAAATGATGCAATCGCTGAAGTTGGATTCATTTCTGTTGGGCTTGTTGTGTCTGTTGATGTCACATAACCATTTTTCAGGAAGTAAGTCATTCGACTGTTGCGCCCTTCTCACAGGAATATTTGTGTTTTTGACGGACGGAGCGGAAACGTTCGAAGCAGTATCCAAGTCAATTTCAGAATTTCCGTTGGCTTCACTGTAATAGTCTGGCTTTATTACATTTCGCTTCTGAGGTTCAGCTAACTTAGGTACAACACGATTAGCAGGAGAATCAGAATCATCAGGAGTAGCAGGGTTGGCAGGAGAAGCGTTGGGAGGCAATAACTTTGCAAGTAATTGATCAAATTTAGCATCCAAGCGTGCATCTAAGCGTGCTTCCATACGTGCAAAGCGGTCATCAAGTTGTTTGTCACGATCAGTAGCAGAATTCGCACCATGTTGAGAATCGGGTCCACCGGGATTCTCTGTAGAACTGGAAAGGTTCTCATATTGGTTCTC